GATTTGGTGACCTGGTCATAGCTGGTGGGATTTTAGCTGGACAGCCATTTTTGTGGCATGATAATTACTTCATGTGTGGCAGGTTTAATTTATTGCACAACTGACTGATCAACTGCATAATGTATGCAACATGTGGCAGAAGCTTTGCTACTACATGTCAGGGGTCTTTTTTAACCTTTCCTCAGTAGTACTGGGTGTTGGCTATAGCCAAGGCTGGGGATGGTGACTGGGCTGTGCCAATGCTCCTGCTGAGACTGAAATCTGGAGGATCCTAGCTAGAGGGTCTTGTCCCTCTGCTCAGGGTCAGACCAACGCTGCACTGGGAGTCAGGAAGGAATTTTACCTCTTGCTCAGACTGGGATAGATTGGGTGGGGGAGGCAAGGAGAGAGGGGTTACATTCCTCTGTAGCAGGGGCATGGCCTCAGCCTGGGATCTCTTGAATTTATATTAAAAACCTTTCACAGCAGCAGCATGTTGGCTGCTGTGGTTCCTCTACTTTACCTGTGGCAGGATTGGGTGTGATGTCAGGTATTGTATCAGGGTTGAGGGTAGTTTTACAGAGAGTTTAGATGATGGATTTGTCTAGGATGGTTTGGATAGGGCTGATCCTGCCTCAGGCAGGGGGTTGAAACAGATGTGACCTCTGGAGGTCCCTTCCAGCCTGATTTCTCTATGATATACCCTGAGTTTCACGTATCAAGCTAAGCCCTGGGAGCTGAATGTACGTTGCTTGGGTCCCCACCAAGGAACAGCACCCCGGCATTTGCTCTTGGTCTCAAGCCCAACATCAGAGATCCAGGCTTCAAACTGACACCCCTATCCAAAGAGCTTCCCAATTCCCCAAGGAACTCACATTGGCTGAGAGGGTGCAACGGACAACAGCTTCATCCCCCTCCATGTCATCGTCCGATGCTTCATCCCTCACTTCACCGTAGACATCCTCATCGCCCTCCTGTTGGAACAGGCAGTTCTGGTGAGAGCAATGCCCTCTGAAAATACTTGCTAATTCCTTCCATGGGCAGGAGGGATGGACATGTCATTTATGTAAACAGCTAGAGAGGACTCCACTGAAGGCAACTGACCAGGAGGTAAGGCTGTGTTCTGTTCCCAGCTCTATGACAGGATTTCCTAAAAGACTTTACCTAAGTCATGTCCCTGCAGTCCTCAGCTTCCCCATTCGCATGGTACAATAGGCTGCAGATGGTGACCAGGCTGTGCCAATGCTCCTGCTGGGACTCAAACCTGGACGTTCCTGGCTAGACAGTCTTACCCCTTTGCTCAGGGTCAGACAAGCTGCATTTGGGGTCAGGAGGGAATTTTACCCCATGTTGAGATTAGTATGGACTGAGGGGGGTTTTGTCTTCCTCTAGGGTACAGTCTCTACCTGGGATCTCTTGAGCATACATTAATATCCTTTTACAGCAGCAGGACATTGGCTGCTGTGGTCCCCCTGCATAACCTGTAGCAGGTCTGATGTCTTGTGTTGTGTCAGGGTCGATGGTAATTTTGTGAAGAGTTTAGATGATGGATTTGCCTGGGATGGTTTGGACAGGGATGATCCTGCCTCAAGCTGGGGGCTGGGCTAGATTTGACCTCTGGAGGTCCCTTCCAACCCAACTTCTATATAATTCTAGGAGCCATGCATCTTTTACACAGAGCTCTGCAGCGAAGGGCACTGGCTCTGTTCTTCTGACAGAGACTGAAACTAAGTGTCACAAAGGATAGGTTACAGCCAGGCCAACACTGGAGCTGCTCTTGCCTGACTTTTGTAGGATAGCAGGAAACGCATTTGCTGGATAAATGCATTAAGGTTCTTCATCTCCATGCTGACCAGAAGTGCAGACTGTTGCTGTCAGTTGGAACCTGTAGCAGTAGCTAGTACTGGATATATCCCAACATTAGTAGAAAAATAATGCACTGAGCTCATTAGGCCTTCCCATATAAGCTACAGCCTGAAGCATGATGGTAAAGGAACAGTCTAACAAAGCTGGTTCTCTTGCATCAGTTATATGTTACAGGACACAGAACGTAGCAGAGTTCAGTGTCAGGAAACCTCACCTGTCTTGTGACACTCAGGTCCATTCAGAACCCACTACCATGTACATGATTCAATGTTTCCCGTCAGGGCCTGCAAAAGTTCCATGTTTATTTGTAACCACACACCTCCAAATAAAATACATACCTTGGTATGGTAAGGTGAAATGAAAAACAAAAAAAGTGCCCTCCACCCCTGAATCTGTTTCCTTGTTTAAGACATGCCACCCCCCAATAGTATACAACTAATTGGGGGAACAGGTGAGTGTTGTATGCAAATAAATATTGTAATTTCTGCCAATGATGCCAAGTTTCTTGTAGTGCTCTATACAGAGACATTTTCTATGTTAGTTCTTTTCAGAGCTCAAATGACTTAATTGAGCAGGCTTAGAAATACAGGTCTATTTTTCCTGAAGGGACTCATCCCAGTTAATTTTTCTTTTGGCCCTCAGACTCTGGCAAAGGGCAAAGTTCTGAAGTGTAGCTCCTTGCCAGAGTCCATCTGTAGCATAAAGCAGTCCAGTGCACTCTAAAATAGGCACCAAATGAAACAGGTGTGAAGAGAGAGACCAAGGAAACGCTAAGTTGGGAGCTGGAGGGCAGGCATAAGGCAAGCATCTGGCTCTTCGAGCTGTGCTATGGAATTCAGATCACTATGCCTCCCTTCACAGAATTGTAGGCAGCCTCTCAGGGCCAAGAAGCAATGTTTAAAGCAACATCCAGCCTAGCCTCCCCTCACTAACACAGCTGAGTCACAGTCAAAGCCCAGGCTGCTCCAGTGGCAAAGCCAAAGCCAAAGAGAACAAGCCCACTCCAGAGCCAGCAGCACAAAAGGATGGCGAGAAAAGGCGACTGCTGACTTACCTCTTCATCAGATTCGAACTGCACGTTCACACCATAGGTCTCATCAATGTTATCATCTGCAAAGGATGAGGCAACTCAAGGTCAATCCAGAGCTCTGCAGCACCATTTAAAGGCAGATGGGGCCAAGCGTATGGCTTGTAGGCCAGATTCGGAGCCTGAGGGGATTTTAAGGAGAAGCAGACACCGAAGAGAATTGTGTGCACAGCTTGGGAGACAGCGGGGTGTAGCCCTTAGTCTCCACGTGCAGTGAGTTAATAACCATGCTGCAGAGAAGAAAATTTCCCAGCCCAGAGCTCAGTTTCTAGCTCCCCCTAACTGAACACACTAACCCAATGTAAAATTATCTCTTGTACCACAGGCCAAGAGGGGCTCTCCCACCCTGTATTACAACAACCACATGCAAGGAAGCCACACCACAGCCTTTACCCATGTTCTGGATCTCCTTGTCACCACCGTAGTCTGTGATCTTCTTGCCCAGGTTCACCAGCACGTGGTACCGGGTGTCGTCTGTCTGGCCCAGCAGAAGGTCAATCTCCTTCCGCCGCTCCTTGTCCCGCAGCTTCTCATTCTTTAGCACAGCCAGGACCTCATCGGCAGCTCCGCAGAGAATGTCCCGGGGCTGCAAGAGGAATGGGGTCTAGCCTAGTAACTCAAGCACATTGGCTTCTACTGACCTAAGGGTGCATTGCCCTGCTGGGATAAGCAGTTCTAGTGATCATGAAACAATGGCATTTCTGGACAAATGCTAGGAGCGTGCTTTCTATGACAACAGGCTCCATAAAGGACACCACATCAGGAAAGTCAGCTGCCTAAAACACAGCAACCCCCCTGGGCGGGGCCAAAGGGTGAGTTGCAGAGTCCTAGAGAAGTAGGGCTGGAAGGAATCTCCAGAGGCCACATCTAATTCAATCCCTCGCCTGACGCAGGGTCAGCCCTGTCCAAACCACCCCAGAGAAATCCAGCATCTAAGCTCTACGTAAGACTATCAACCCTGACACAGCACTCACTTAACACCTGCCACAGATAAAGCAGGGGAACCACAGCAGCCAATGTCCTGCTGGACATTTTTCTGGACATCCAATCTACCTTTATTGGGTGCATCTTCAAACCATCAGTCCACCTCCTAATACCTACAGCAAGAGAAAAAAGGTGCTTTCCTCCTCCTTTATGGCAGCCCTTCAAGTCATTGAAGCTATCATGTCCTCTCTTAGACACCTTTTTCCCAAGCCCAGCTCCTTCAGCCTCTCCTTGTAGGAATTGCCTTTCAAGCTCTTGATTGTCTGTCACCTGCCTCTGGCCCTTCTCTAACATCACTATGTCCTTTTAAAATTTTGAGCCCAGAACTGCATACAGTGCTGCAGATGAGGCCTAACCAGTGCTGAGTAGAGCACAATCATCTCCTGTGTCTTGCATCTGATGCTTCTGTTTGACCCCCTGCTGTACACCAGCATTCCAGCAAGTCCAAGGCTCTTGCAGAATTTTATGTAGACCAGTGGGTCTCAACCTTGTCAGACTCCAGGCCCTGTCTGGGAAAGAAATCAGCCCTTTGCTTTCACTTTTCTTGACTACAAAGAGAATGCTAGAGCCATTCTTTCATAGCAAATAAAGTAGCCAGCCCACAGCAGAGTGGAATAGCTTTGACACCATGGATTGCTACTGGAGATCTCTAGGTTTATCACATGGAGGTGTTTTCAGGCCTACAAACCCCCAAATCACCTAGCCTTGCAAAGCCTTCACCCATCTCTCTAGGGAGCAAGAGGAGAAAGGGCCCAAAGTCCAGGAAGTTGCACAGTCTGAGCTGCAATTCTCCCCAACTCAAGGCCCCGGGAGTCCTAAGAGCTCCACTCAGTTGCCATGTGTGCACCTTGCAAGTAGTGAGAATGACGGTGCTCTGACTGGCTGGGCCAGGGATTTACCTGGTCCCCGAGGGCTGCCTGAATGAAGCTCAGCAGCACTTCGTAGGTCTCCCGAGTCTCCTTGGTTTTGGGCTTGTAGATGATCCCCACCATCTCGTCAATGCCCTCCGACAGCAAGGTGTAGCCCTTCATCTTGTTGATGTCGTGCCTGTCCTCGTCACGCTTCCTCCTCCTGACCAGTGGGAAAAAGAAAGAGGGTTATACAACCAAATCAGGAGACAAGCTATTTCGACTCCCGGTTAGAAGGCGGAGGAGGAGAGCAAAGCTGAAGCCCTTCAGCAGCAGGGGACTGGCTCTCACTTGCAAATACCCATTAAAAAAACCAATCACTGGGGGGGTACTTCTCACCAGCTTTTACCCTCACCTTCCTAGTGGGAGCAACATTTTAAGTAGGAATCGTTCACCCTTCAGAGCATGTGGCATCACACTGTTCGGGTGACAGCAAGGCTGGCCCTGAATTATACTGCTAAGGGTGTTGCTTGAATATTTTTAGCTGGGAACAAAAACATTTAGACTGAACCGCAACCCAAAGCGATGCAAAGTCTGGCACTAAGTGCAGGGTACCAGAAACAGCTCTGAATGCCAATGACCTGACCTGAATTGCCCTTCTTAATAAGGCTTTCCCACCAGCTGGTTTCAGTCTGGGATTTCAATCTGGGGCTACATATGTGTTTTAAGGCACTTCCTAAAGAAAGGGTCATTCTTGCAGGTTATGAGAACTGCTAAGGCATGCGGTTTTACAACCCAATGGAACTTTCAGGAGGAATTTGGTGCTTTTTGCTAATCAGGAGGCTATATTACATGAAAGACATGACGGAGAGGCGCACACACAAAGATGACACAGAGCATGTGAGACATGAGGCAGGCAGAGCACACACGTGCGCAGCAGGCAGGCAGAGTGCGAGAGAGAGAGAGACAGACAGAGAGATAGATAGAGAGACAGATAGAGAGATGGACACCTAACGCCCTGCCCCTGTCCCATTTGCCACTGCACTGCTTGCCCTTCCCTCCTCATGCCACAGAGCATGTCTATGCTCTCTGGCCACCCCTGCCTGACCTTGTTCAGAAAGGGACAAACTTTTGTCAGTGACAGAGCAGCCGGAAGCTGGGGTTCTCCACGGAACCAGTGCTTGTGCCTCTCTGAGGGAGCTTGCATACGCTATATCGCTCAATGGGAATTCGATCAGCTACCTTTTCTTGTGGCCAAAATCAGCCTATTTATGACTCACTAGATCATTAGTCCTGCAAGACACAGTTGAACAGAAGTGGGAGAGAAACCAGCTGTAGTACTGTTACGCCTGCCCCAGCATGAATCTGGGAGCGGGCCATCTTTTTTTGATAGGTAGATGGCCATTTCTAACTGTGATACTTCCTCGGCGGGTGTGGCTGAGCTACTTTTATTGCGTAACCTTCCCCCCACCCCCAAACTGCATACTGTATGTAACGTGCAGCAGTGGTCTCAGGGCAATGAGCAGGAATACAGGCATCAGACACGGCTTCCAGACATATCTGAAGCATGGCAGCAGTGCCAGCCTGCCACATGCTGGCCATGCCAACACAGCAGCTCTCAAAGGCACAGGGACCAGCCCAGCCTCCAGATACAGAAGCTGCTATGTGGTGATCCAACCTGCCAGCTCACTAGAGGTCAATACTGGTGGCATCAGATATACATTGGTTTTGCTCCAAATTTATGTCAGGCTGGATCTGCAGGGAAACTGAAGCTCTATCAAGTGCCAAAATCCAGAGAAAAAGCAGAGCCTAAACCCACTCACTTGGCCCGCCGCTCCTCCTGCATTTGGGGCTTGGTCCTCTGTGCTTTGTCACCCATGCGTGTCCCCTCCAGCTTCCCCACCAAGGAAAGCACTTCCCCCGTGGGCTCATCTCGCCGGGTCCTGTCGATCAAGGAGCGGTCTGCTTGAAGTACGAGGTTGGAGTTCTGGAAGGATCAGAGCACAGGGGGATAAGGGTCAGGAGGAGTTACCACCATCTCTGCTTTCCAGGATGAGAGTACCATGCTTTCAGCATTGCCACAAGCCCATCACAGCTAAAAACCCATGGAACAGCCAGAATGCACCAAGGACTGCTGCTTTTCAAAGCTGCTTTGCACCCTAAGAGCTCCCTGATCATCTTCCTTTTCCAGCCTAGTTATCTACCTGGAGAGTTAATTAGGCCTCACCTAGACTGGCACATCTCTGCTAGCTAGAGACAGCAGTCATTACTAACCAGCCACCAGAATGCACATGTGCACATGCACGCACACACGAGTGGAAAGACACTGGAGCACAGACCAGCCCTTACTAGGGTGGATACAAATCAATGATTTAAAATTTATATATATATTTTTTTTTAAATTCAAATCTGTTTGTTCTTTTTAAATTAAAAATCCTCAATAAAATACTAAATTTCTCTCTCATTTAAAAATAACAGTTACAATTAAATCTCATCACAAACTTGCTAAACCTACACTTACAAGCTCAGTATGTTGCAGTTGCTAGAAAAAAAGGTTTAGCTTAGCTAATCTTCATGGCTTGTTTAATTAGTTAACTAGGTTTAGAATCTATCACACAAGTTTACAGTACAGAAAGCTGCAGTAAGAGAAATCTAGAGTTGCCAGCTGCCCATGAGTGTCATTTTCTTATTTTACATTACATAATACATGCACCTTATTTTGGACCATCATGGCCCCAGACCTTAATGGTGATGTCATAAGTCTATTCCCTATTTTACTTCAGCATAACTCAGCTTTCCCAAGGGAACCCCATCCTATACTTGTTTTCTCAAAAAAACCCAGAAGTGCCAGTGAGTTCAATGGGGCTTACTCCAAAACTAAGTGGACTCTAAGTGCAGTCAGTCTTAGCTTTTTTGGTAATTTGGAATTGGAGCTGCATTCTTGCTGGAAAAAATGTAAATGATTAACTGAATAATAGAGTGAGAAGAACTGAGAAGAATAACTATTCAAAAATCATTTTTGTTTCAGGATCCCATTTAAGCATAACAGACTTTGTCTATCTGCAACAACTTCAGTCATCTGTTGGTACTTGTAGCAGCAGTGCTGCAACTAGACATATTTCAGACAACAAAGTACCAGTAGCAAGTAAAAGAATTCAGTCATCCAGTAAAACCACCAACATGGATGGGTTTGTAGTAAGGACCAGCAAATACCAACAAGACACCATAGATGAAAAGATTGCTCAGTTCATTTATGCCACAAATTCTGCTTTTCCCATTGTTAACAATACACACTTCATTGACATGGTTGAGTCCTTACAACCAGGCTACACTCCACCTAGTAGAGCAGACATTGGTGGAGGGTTGCTAGATACAATGTATGAGAAAGAACTTGAACAGCATGCAAGAAATACTGAAGGGGAAATTTGCCAGTTTAAGCCTCGATGTACACAATGATCCAGTAATATGTGCCTCTGAGACAACAGAAGATGGGTTTGTGAAGAGGTCAGTACCACCTCTTTGGAAGAGAAAGATGATCCTGGCCAGGGTTTACCAGACAGGGCAGTGACAAGGCTGAGGGGGGAACTCCCAAGGTGCCCAAAACTGAATTTACCAGATTGCCAGGTACATTGCATTGGCTCCTCCTGGTGCCCTGGGGCTACTTCAGGCAAGGAGTTCTCCCTGGCGAAGGAAGGCAGGGAAGACAGAGAGCCCTGGCAGAACGGAGGCTCTGGTTGAGAGCTTATTCCCTGGGAACGGGACTTGAGACCAAGACGGTCTGTGAGCTCAGAGCTCTGTGAGTGCTGCTGTCTGCCAATCACAGCAAGCATTAAAAGCCTGAAGCTTGTAGACTCCAGAGGGAAACCTGAATACACAGGAGAGGTTTTCTTCTTCTTTTGAGTTCCACTGACAATGTGGATTAGGAGATTGTGTAGCCCCAAAGGGAGGCTGTCTCACCTTAATGAGGGCAATTAATGGAGCCCGGGAGTGAAGCCAAGCCTGCTGAAGAGGGATTGTGGCTATACCTGTGGGGGATCAGCGTTAGAAGCATTGAGTTCATTTTCTTCTACTCACTAACAAGGGGAGGATTTCCCCACAGCAGTTATTTTCTTTTTTTTTTTCCTGCCAAGTGAAGGAAGCCCTACAGCTTTGGGGAGGAGAAGAACAAAAGACAAGGAGAGACAGGATTGATCTGATTTATTAGACTGGGCAAATATGTCTGGGTCCAAAGTTTGGACAATTTAAAGACTCTTTTTGCCAGAGATAACTATCCAGAAGAAAAACGATAATTGGCCTTGAGTCAGAGAAAACACCCAGGCTGACCATACGCACATATTCTGGATTATACCTGATACCGTGGTAACAACTGGTAGGTTTACAGCTGGCGTGAAAGGGGAGGTTGGAGCTCCACTTGGAGGGCGCCTTGCACCATAATCAGACTCGTGAAAACAACATCACCTCCCAAAAGAACATTTCATCAAGTCATGGCAGGCAAGAATTAGGTGGAGACTAGAGTCTGACTAGCTGGTCAAGGCATTCCTGACAACCACGGACAGGTGAATGTCATCAGGATGTCAAGGGCCACGTCCTTAAGCAGTGATCCCCCAACAGGTTGCATAAGTTTCAGAAACAACAGATACACTGGGAAATGCCCACACAGCAGAATATTTAAAAGAAGGGGCAGTGAAAGCTGTAAGAAACTGTGAACAAAAATTCAACTGTCACATGCGCAGTTGTCAGAGACAATGCTGCAAGACTGGCAAAAATGAGAAGATCCTTAGAAGAAGAAATGGAAGGATCTTCCATAATAACATAGGGCTACAGTGTCCATTTAATGCATCTTTTAGCCAAAGACTTAAGTACTTCTCCAAGAATAAAAGAAAATGTTGAAATCACAAAGTACTTCCATAACAACTATTTTGCTTCAGCTTCACTGAAGAGAGCACGAGGATCCAAACTAATTCTCTCTCAAGATGTTCAATGGAATTCTGTGGTTCATTGTTTTGAACAGTTTATTAAGAACTGACTTTTTGCATAAAAAAATTTTGAAGAAAACCGCGATAAAAACCGATGGGAGTATCTCATCCAAAGTAACTAACATTGGATTAAGGAGGAATGTAGAAGATATGCTCAGTATACTGAAGCCTACATCCATAGCCTTAAACAAACTTCAGAGAGATTGTTGCTGCATTGCTGATGCTGTTAAAATTTGGCATAGTGATACTTGATGTGATACTTCCTCAGCAGGTATGACTCCGCTACATCTGTTGTGCGACCCTCCACCCTTCCCAAGCAGCACGATGTCGGCACCGTGCGACGGAGGCCTCAAAGCAACGGATGGAAACACACAGCCCGACCCGCCCCGTGCCCCGGCACGAGGCCTGGCGCGACCGGCCCCGATCCCGGCTGCGGGCCCAGGTCCCCGCGGGACTCACCGCCTTATACTCATACTGCAGGCTCCGTGCAGTGACGTCCGCCATGGCAGCTCATCGGGCGCCGCCGCCTCACAAACCCGCGGCA